TATTTTGTTTAAAGAGACATACTACAGTACTATGTCCTTTAACTGCATTATATTTCACATATGGCTGACAACTGAAAGTACCATGGTTGACTCCTGTGAGAGGTAGAGCATAGGGTAAGTCTCCTAATATGTGCTGCCCTTTCTACATGGCAATAAATGAATACCTAAGCATTAGTCCGCTTGGTAGTCACAATCTAGATTCTAGAGAAAGACCTAATGACAACAGAAATCTACCCCCACAGATTGACTTTCTTGTGCTATTAACCCTTTGAGGGTCGACAGGCCCTCCCCGAGACTTGTTCTCAGGGTCGGCCAAATGTCCCCAGAAAAAAAAATTATTTTTCTTATGAAAAGATAGAGAATCTTTTCCCGATCATAATGACACAAAACGTAGGAAATTTGATTGAAAACTTACGGAATTATGCTCTCACGAAGTTAGCGGTCTCGACGATGTTTACGCATCGCTGATTTTGCCCACTTTGAGCCCTATTTTCGGCCAATTCCAATGTACTAGGCGACAAAAATCATAACTATTTCAATAGAACTCCATTTTTTCTATCGAATGAGTTCAAGAAACCACCCATTTACCAATTTCAACTATCCAATAAAGTGGTCGGTTAAACAATTTTGCCAATTTCACACAAATTTCAAAAGATGCCAGTTTCCGAATAGGGTCCAGAATAAACAAGAAATACATTCCTGGCACTAAAATAACAAGTTCTCTGTTCGTTAGTCACATCTCCAGGCCCCTCTTATATTTCTTTGGCTTTCCACTTTGAATTTTTATTCTTACAAAAAAATAGAAGATTTACTGTTATGCAGACTACTGCATTAGTGTAGAAATGGTATAAATAATATCAGCGCACTTGTGAAAGAATATTAGACTCACCAGTTGATGTGTATTGGACGTTTGGCATGATTTGTTTACTTTTGAACTTAGATAAAAATCGAACATTTTGGCTACTTTGCACTCAATTTCAAGGTACTTTTCATTGTAAAACCAGTCAAAAATCATCTCAATTTCTGTAATATGTCTTCCATTTATAAAACGAGACCAAGAAAACTAGAATACAACAATAAATACCATACGAAAATACAGTGCAAAGTCGCTGTTTTATTCCAAAAACACGGTCAAAGTTTTTTTTTTCCCATCATGCACTGTGTGCTGCAGGATTTTTTTATACTGTGCACAGTGACCACATAGACCCATTCTTTCATATGTAGGCCTACCAGCTTTCTCACTAGATTTGAGGGCACTAGAATTTAGGCGTACTAGTACGTGAAAAACCCTGGGTCGTAAGCCGTACTAGTACGGCTGAAACCCTCAAAGGGTTAACCCTCTAGGGTAATCCAAATAAAGCTTGTTGCCATTCTTATCAATTATATATTTTTTATTTTAATCAGAAGCAAGTGTAAACCTGTAGAGGGCCACACAGCACCTGAGGAATGGAAAGCACTCAGGTTTGATCCAAGGAAGGGGAGAATAAGACCAGTTTCTTGGCTCAAGAGCCCCTCAACAGTATCTTCATTACAATATTACATATCTTACACACTAAGCATGGTATGTCTTACATTTAGATATAGTACAATGTTCAATACATTTATTTTCCATACTGTTAGGAAAGATGTGCATAATTAAGGGCTGTACCTTGTCAGATGCTGTACCTTGTCAGATACTGTACACTGCTAACCTACTATTTTAACTAATATATCTCCTTCAGAAATTAAATCACCTTGCCAACAGAGTGGTGCTCATGTTTCAAAGGTATAGTACCTTGAACCAGGTGGAAACATTGGGCATCTTTCTTTACACCTGCTGTCCCTGGTCACCCAGCAGGATTTATGTTTCTTAATGATGGGGAAGTGCTAAACCTTTAGCAATCATAAAAAAAACCTGGGGAATGGGAAGATGATTATTTTGCTCAGATTAACTAATGTTAGCAATACAGGATAAACCAATCAATTCTGGTTGCCATCGAGAGCAGTCTTATTTTCATCGGGGTCCTTTAAACCTCTCCCTCAGGATACAACCCACACTAGTTGCCTAACACCCGGTGACCTGGTGGCTAAAGATCCCGCTTCACACACGGAGGGCCCGGGTTCGATTCCCGGCGGGTGGAAACATTTCGACACGTTTCCTTACACCTGTTGTCCTGTTCACCTAGCAGCAAATAGGTACCTGGGTGTTAGTCGACTGGTGTGGGTCGCATCCTGGGGGACAAGATTAAGGACCCCAATGGAAATAAGTTAGACAGTCCTCGATGACGCACTGACTTTCTTGGGTTATCCTGGGTGGCTAACCCCCAGGGGTTAAAAGTCCGAACGAAATCTTATCTTATCTTATCTAACATAGAGGTACCTACTTCCTTCTAGGTAAACATGGGAAGTTATAAGGAAACATGCCCAAAATTTCTACTTATCCTGGGGATCTAACCCTGGTCCCTCAGTGTGAGCCAAGGCAGCTACCAACCGGGCCACAAGGATTCAGGGTTTGATCCAACAAGGGGAGATCTTAATCCAGTTCCTTGGACTAAGAGCCCTTTACTGGCATCAAAAGACTACAGTAAGTAGGTATTACAGTAGATGAGAGGAAGCAGTGACTGGTCACAACACAGCCAGCGGTGACTGGTCACAACACAGCCAGCGGTGACTGGTCACAACACAGCCAGCGGTGACTGGTCACAACACAGCCAGCGGTGACTGGTCACAACACAGCCAGCGGTGACTGGTCACAACACAGCCAGCGGTGACTGGTCACAACACAGCCAGCGTGACTGGTCACAACACAGCCAGCAGGTGACTGGTCACAACACAGCCAGCAGTGACTGGTCACAACACAGCCAGCAGTGACTGGTCACAACACAGCCAGCAGTGACTGGTCACAACACAGCCAGCAGTGACTGGTCACAACACAGCCAGCAGTGACTGGTCACAACACAGCCAGCAGTGACTGGTCACAACACAGCCAGCAGTGACTGGTCACAACACAGCCAGCAGTGACTGGTCACAACACAGCCAGCAGTGACTGGTCACAACACAGCCAGCAGTGACTGGTCACAACACAGCCAGCAGTGACTGGTCACAACACAGCCAGCAGTGACTGGTCACAACACAACCAGTGATAAAGCATCATAGTAGATGAGAGGAAGCACAGTGTCTGGTGACAACACAACGGTAGGTGGGTAGGTGTTTGCCTACTGCTGTGGGTGGCATCCCAAGGGGAGGGAGGGATGAAAATAGAAATTAACCACACTGACTGGCTTTCTCTGGTTAATAATCAGGAAAATAAATCATAGGAATGAGCACTGCACGAGGCCTAATGACCAATGCATGGCAAGTTCAGCTCACAATCACTCAAGTACCCATCTAACTTTATTTCAAACAACCCAAAGTTCTCAGTACAATGAAGCTACCTGGAGTTTGCTCCACTCATCCACAACTCTGCATGCTACTTGGAGTATATCTGGAGAGGGTTCTGGGGGCCAAGGCTCCTGCAGCTCAGTCTGAGACCAGGCCTCGTGGTGGATCAGGGTCTGATCAACCAGGCTGTTACTGCTGGCCACACACAGACGTACGAACCACAGCCCGGCTGGTCAGGTACTGACTTTAGGTGCCTGTCCAGTGCCTTCTTGAAGATAGCCAGGGGTCTATTGGTAATTCTCCTTATGTATGCTGGGAGGCAGTTGAACAGTCTTGGGCCCCTGACACTTACTGTGTTGACTCTCAGTGTACTCGTGGTGCCCCTACTTTTCATTAGGAGAATGTTGCATCTTCCTGTGAAAGCAAAAGTCTCGGGAGTGATTTTCATGTGCAAGTTTGGTACTAATCCCTCCAGGATTTTCCAAGTGTATAATATCATGTATCTCTCTCACCTGCATTCCAGGGAATATAAATCAAAGGACTTCAACTGTTCCCAGTAATTTAGGAGCCTTATCGTACTTGTGTGTGCCGTGAACGCACTTTGTACACTCTCCAGGTCAGCAAACCAGTACTTCCCCACAGTTTTTCTACTAGGCCCGTGGTCTGGTAGGCAACACACTCGCTTCACACACTGAGTATCCATGGTTCAATCCCCAGCAAGGGTGAAAATACTGGGAGTGTTTCCTTACACCTGCTGTCTCGTTCAACTAGCAAGCAAGTAGGTACCTGGGTGTTAGTCGACTGGTGTGGGTCGCATCCTGGAGGACAATACTGAAGGACCACAATGGAAATAAAACAAGACGGTTCTCGATGAAGCATCGACTTTCTTGGGTTCTCCTAGGTGGCTAACCCAGGATAACCCCAGAGCATTTTTAAATGTAAATTTAAATAATTTTCATGTTTAATGGGAAGTGGCCTGGTGGGCTAACCCTCAGGGGTTAAAAATCCGAACGAAATCTTAAGTGATAACCACATATGCCATATAGTGCTGGATGATGAGATATGGGGGAAATCAGGTTTGACAAGCTCAAATTCCCTGGATCAAGAGTCCTTCACCGGTGTCATGGCACCTCCCTGGACGAGTCCAATGGAAATAAGTCACTTTCCTTAACTTTTATGGGTTATTGTTGGTAATTTACACATATTACAAAGTCACTTTGACTTTTATGGGTTACTGTTGGCAATTTGCACATGTTAATATGTAAAACAATCGTAACCATCCAAAAATTGCGTAATATACCTAAAATAAACTTATAGTCATCATAAGAGTATTTAATGGCTGTCAAGGATAAATTATATCCGGCTGAAATCCTGTGTGCCTTTTCTTACTTCATATCCCATACATTATAATTAATTCTAGCACATACATAACAGAAAAAAACAAAATTGTACATAATAACTCAGATAATGGCCCTTAGTAACCACTTCCCCAAAGTAAAATGGATGACTATACATACATCCCCACACATATTCACAAAACTTTGCATGAGCTTGTAAGAAAAAAGCATGATGAAGGCTTCTGTATGATGGTGGAAAGCTGTCAGTGAATATGAAGTGAAAGAGAGTATTATAAAACTCACCTGTACGTCAAGTATCTCAACCATCACTACTGTGCTGCTCTCAACCAGCTGCGCTACTTCCCTCTCATGTACCAGCCACTCTCTCACTTATTTCACCTTATAAATCACAATATTTCAACTATTTACTCTATTTAAACAACTTGATCTGTGCTATGTATAATATATAGTATAAATAATTGATTAAGATGGTTATTCAGTGTTTTAAAAAAATAGTTTATGTAAGCCAGAAATAGTCTAAAATGTGCAAGATGTAGTTGCCACTCAGACATTCCTGTCACCCATTGATGGTAATTTATAAATATATATATGACTGAATCGTGAGAGTCATGGTGACTAGGCACCGGCAGGCTCTGCATGTATTTATTTATCCTCATAAGTGACCAGGCAGGTTTTTTTTTTCCTCGAAACTCCAATAAGTCACGTTGACTTTCTTGGGTTATCCTAGGTAATTTATACACATGTTGCTATGTATGGTAATTGTTGTTACTTTTATTTTGGTTATGTAACTGTAATCTTTTGATTACCGCCCACATAAGTATCAAGTTTATTCTCTATAAAGATTACAATGTTGGATTTACATATTATAGGATATTGTGTGGTTTACATATTATATACAACTAATTACAGAGCCACTATCACACCTAGTATGACTAGGCATTTCGGGCAGGCTAAGATTAATTCAAAATTCTATATTGGTATAGATTATGGAGCATATTGTTGTTAAGGCTAACTAACTGCATTACAGTTAGTCAATTTAATAATGTGAATGGATTCTACTGAAGCTCCTATACTGGAGTATCACAAGCAAACTTATGACTAGTTAAGATTTCTTAGGTAATAGTTTCATTACATATTTCTATGTTCATAGTCAGTTGTGCGAGTGTAAGTGTGAATTGTGGGGAATCACAGATATCGAGGGCAGGTCTAGGTTGTTTTTTATGTGTGTATGATACAAGAGAATAGGTGGTTGTCATGTAGTTAGGTGACGGCAGGGTGTGTCAGGGAGATAAGATGTTTTGTAACGGTAGTTTTGAAAGTGATGGTTGTGTCTGCAGTTCTACAGTTTTCAGGTAGGGTGTTCCAGATTTTAGGGCCTTTTATGTATATTGAATTTCTGTAGAGGTTTAGCCGGCCACGGGGAATGTCATAGAGATGTTTGTGTCTGGTGTTATGCCTGTGGGTCCTGTCATAACTATCAAGAAAGTGTTTTAAGTCAGGGTTAATATTGGAATTTAAGGTTCTGTAAATGTAGGTTGCACAGTAGTGTGGATGTTCTGTTTACCTGGAGAGAGTTCCGGGGGTCAACGCCCCCGCGGCCCGGTCTGTGACCAGGCCTCCTGGTGGATCAGAGCCTGATCATCCAGGCTGTTGCTGCTGGCTGCACGCAAACCAACGTACGAGCCACAGCCCGGCTGATCAGGAACTGACTTTAGGTGCTTGTCCAGTGCCAGCTTGAAGACTGCCAGGGGTCTGTTGGTAATCCCCCTTATGTGTGCTGGGAGGCAGTTGAACAGTCTCGGGCCCCTGACACTTATTGTATGGTCTCTTAACGTGCTAGTGACACCCCTGCTTTTCATTGGGGGGATGGTGCATCGTCTGCCATGTCTTTTGCTTTCGTAGTGAGTGATTTTCGTGTGCAAGTTCGGTACTAGTCCCTCTAGGATTTTCCAGGTGTATATAATCATGTATCTCTCCCTCCTGCGTTCCAGGGAATACAGGTTTAGGAACCTCAAGCGCTCCCAGTAATTGAGGTGTTTTATCTCCGTTATGCGCGCCGTGAAAGTTCTCTGTACATTTTCTAGGTCGGCAATTTCACCTGCCTTGAAAGGTGCTGTTAGTGTGCAGCAATATTCCAGCCTAGATAGAACAAGTGACCTGAAGAGTGTCATCATGGGCTTGGCCTCCCTAGTTTTGAAGGCTCTCATTATCCATCCTGTCATTTTTTCTAGCAGATGCGATTGATACAATGTTATGGTCCTTGAAGGTGAGATCCTCCGACATGATCACTCCCAGGTCTTTGACGTTGGTGTTTCGCTCTATTTTGTGGCCAGAATTTGTTTTGTACTCTGATGAAGATTTAATTTCCTCATGTTTACCATATCTGAGTAATTGAAATTTCTCATCGTTGAACTTCATATTGTTTTCTGCAGCCCACTGAAAGATTTGGTTGATGTCCGCCTGGAGCCTTGCAGTGTCTGCAATGGAAGACACTGTCATGCAGATTCGGGTGTCATCTGCAAAGGAAGACACCGTGCTGTGGCTGACATCCTTGTCTATGTCGGATATGAGGATGAGGAACAAGATGGGAGTGAGTACTGTGCCTTGTGGAACAGAGCTTTTCACCGTAGCTACCTCGGACTTTACTCTGTTGACGACTACTCTCTGTGTTCTGTTAGTGAGGAAATTATAGATCCATCGACCGACTTTTCCTGTTATTCCTTTAGCACGCATTTTGTGCGCTATTACGCCATGGTCACACTTGTCGAAGGCTTTTGCAAAGTCTGTATATATTACATCTGCATTCTTTTTGTCTTCTAGTGCATTTAGGACCTTGTCGTAGTGATCCAATAGTTGAGACAGACAGGAGCGACCTGTTCTAAACCCATGTTGCTCTGGGTTGTGTAACTGATGGGTTTCTAGATGGGTGGTGATCTTGCTTCTTAGGACCCTTTCAAAGATTTTTATGATATGGGATGTTAGTGCTATTGGTCTGTAGTTCTTTGCTGTTGCTTTACAGTGAGTTTAGATCTATGATGAGGGGGGGGAGGGTGTTGCCTGGGATTCGACTGTGTGATTATTCTTACTGCAGCTTTTTGTTTATTCAAATTCAAATTCAAAGTTTATTCATTCGTTTCTCGACCTGCGGGGAGAGAGGACGCTTCTACAGGTTCTCTTGCACGCCACCTGGTGAGGAAAACATAGCATTAGCACCAAGATGGCGGACCGAATGAACCGGCGCATAAATACTGTCTGCATTGAGCTGGTTAGAGGATCTTTAAGCAGCGTCACGATGAACGTTCTCCTGCCAAGCATTATCAGGGACTGTTATGGCATCCCCAATGAAGAGCTGTATGGTGTGGCACTGAATGGTATGTCAAGGGTCTTTGTGAAGTTCATGAGAGCTGACTTCTACTCTACCATCGTCGACGAATTTCAAGAAAGGAGGATGATTATCAATTCGGCAGTGGAAGTATGCTTGCATGATGTGTCTAAGTATTTTACTTGGGTGAAGGTAAGGAATGTACCTTTTGAGGCATACAGCCTACAAGATGTGTTCAGTGGTTATGGGACTGTACACTCGGCGAGCATGGGAATGTGGAGGGATGGCCCTTACGAGGGCATGCCGGAAGGATCCTTCACACTGAAAATGACCCTGAGGAGGCCGATACCATCATATGTCACATTGCATAGCCATAGAACACAGGTTTTTGTACACTATGCGGGGCAGAGGAAGACGTGCCGTTTATGTGACTCTTATGAGCACATGGTGGCACAATGCCCCAGGAGACAGGGCCCTAGGCATCAGGAGACAGCTTCTGTGGATACGCCAGTAGAAGCCGCGGACGTTATGACGGGTGAAGTGGAAAGCCGGAGTACAGGCCTATGGAGTGAGGAGGTCGACAGAGCAGAGGTGGTTTTGGAGACGTGTGTTACACTACCAGTGGAAACGGGGGGGAAGGGGGAGGGAATATCGCTGTCAGACAGACCGTTAGGTACTACAGATTCAGCTCAGGAAGGGATTTTGGAGGCTGTGCTGAAGGATTTTTTGGAAGAGTCGGAGCAGGGTGTGGAAAGTGATGCGAGGTCAGGTGATGGATGAACAGAAGCGGGGTAAGGAAGACTTGAGTGAGGTTCGAAAGGAGAGCAATGTGGTGGTGGAGGTCCATCAAGATGTGGTTGCAGAAGATGTGTGTAGAGGGTAGCTCCAGCAAGAGATCAGCGGGGCCATCAGACATGGACGAAGTCCTCACACCAGCGCAGAGGACTGGGAAGAAGATGTGGGCAGCTGTGGTAGCAACGGCAAGTCAGGGAGGAGGGGGGGCAATGGGAAGTCCGGCAGGAAGGGACAGGGAGGGGTTGGAGGGCAAGGACGAGGGATTGATAGAGAAGGACCGAGACCTATGAAAGGAGGACCAAGTAAGCCTCAGTGGCACAGGGGTAAGCCGCCATTCTTGTAAAATTCAGGTGTGTAACTTTCAATGTAAACGGTCTTAAAACCGAGGTCAAGAGGGTATGGTTAGAGTGGGTTTTGAGGAGATTTAGTATTGATGTCTGTTTTTTGCAGGAACATAACCATAGGTTAGGATGTGAATTGTTGAAAGGTTATAGGTTGTTTACATGTGATGCTTTCAGGTTGAAAGGAGGTGTGGCTGTGGCGGTCAAGGAGACAAGTCCTTTGCGTATCCTGGGTTGGGAGGAGGGGGGGGGTGGGAGGGTTGTCAGGGTGGATGGGTTTTGGGGGGCCAGGAGGGTTAGTTTTGTAGGTGTGTACATGCCAGCAACTAGTAACGCTAGAGTGAAGGTGGATTTTGTACGCGATGTTCTGGTACATCACTTGAGAGGTTAAATGTGGAAAAGTCGGTCGATGGATCTATAATTTCCTCACTAACAGAACACAGAGAGTAGTCGTCAACAGAGTAAAGTCTGAGGCAGCTACGGTGAAAAGCTCTGTTCCACAAGGCACAGTACTTGCTCCCATCTTGTTCCTCATCCTCATATCCGACATAGACAAGGATGTCAGCCACAGCACCGTGTCTTCCTTTGCAGATGACACCCGAATCTGCATGACAGTGTCTTCCATTGCAGACACTGCAAGGCTCCAGGCGGACATCAACCAAATCTTTCAGTGGGCTGCAGAAAACAAAATGAAGTTCAACGATGAGAAATTTCAATTACTCAGATATGGTAAACACGAGGAAATTAAATCTTCATCAGAGTACAAAACAAATTCTGGCCACAAAATAGAGCGAAACACCAACATCAAAGACCTGGGAGTGATCATGTCGGAGGATCTCACCTTCAAGGACCATAACATTGTATCAATCGCATCTGCTAGAAAAATGACAGGATGGATAATGAGAACCTTCAAAACT